TGACGGTTTCCACGCCCTCGATGTTTCCTGCTCCTGAGATGGCGAACCTGGCTCCAGATTTACAACCATTGGAGGATCAGGTCTCTTCCACACTTTCGTGGTATAATAATCCTTCTCCGTGCTACTCCTACAGACAGGGTCAGGACCAGGAGAGCCATCTTTGATGAAATACTGAGAACCTGGACATGCTGTCCTGAGGAGTTCTTCTGTACGCCCGCTGACTGGGAGATCCTTGCCTACCCCCAGAGGAAGAAGGCTGAGATTGACCCCCCGGAGGTTCACATGCATTCCAACAAGGTTGAACCCACTGAACCTCCTGCTCCGCCACCAGTGGTCTTCACTGCTGCAGCCCCAGTGGTAGCTTCCAGGCCTACCACAGTCTCTGTAGTTTTTAAAGCTCCTGCAACCCCTGATGAGTCCACGTCCCTGGAGGGTCCCACATCCTCAGTTGTTCTTTTGTCAGTGGCTACTCCTGCGCCTCCAGTGACTCTTGTGTCAGCTGCCGCTCCTCCTGAGGTCACCATGTCAGCTGCTACTGCTCCTTTGGTTCCTGCGTCCACTGCCACTGCTGCTCCTCCGGTGACTCCTGCATCAGCCGCCGCTGCCACTCCTTCTGAGGTCACCACATCAGCCGCTGCTGCTCCTCTTCTGGTTCCTGCTTTGGCCGCTCCTGTGATCACCGCACCAGCTGCTGCTGCTGCTGCTCCTCTTCTGGTTCCTGCTTCTGCCGCTGCTGCAGATCCTGCGGTTATCGCGTCTGCCACTGCTGTGTTAGGATTTGTGGTCGGAGCGAACCCAGAGTGCAGAACAGGGACTCAACTCGGCAGATAAACAAAAATAGGTTTTTAATGATAAATGAAAAGTACAAAATAAACAAGCTGACGGGGCAGCAAAACTTACATAAACAAGGAGGGAGGCACGGGGAACTCAGGAGACACGGGGAACTCGAGGAACCAGGAAGACAAGGAGAGACTCAGGAGACTCAAGGAAGCGTACCCAACGAAGACGACCC